CTCAGCTCGCCCAGGATTGGCTGCGATGGTGGTTTCTCCTCCTTTGGTAGAGCCGGAGCTGCAACAGGGACAGTATACTGAAAGGCACTCTCGGGACAGACATCCGTCAATCCACCCATCTGTCTAACCATACACCCAATCTACACACTCACCCATCCCTCAGGTTACCCAAACCATACACCCTTCGATCCACTTTCCTTTCCTCCAGCTCCTTGTCCACCCATCCACTCATTCAGCCTATTACCCCTTTGTCTGGCATTTCAGCCAGCCAGCCTGCCTGAAATATGTCTTTCCATCCAGCCAGCCATCCGTGTGTCTTCCCACCCACCCGGACTTCATTCCATCCATCATTCATCATCTTCCTGTTACCCTTCCCATTCACATCACTTCATGGAGCCATTAAGTGTTGAACCAAGGATGCGTATACTGGGAGGAACACGGAGAAACTGTCCAAGAGGCCATTAACCAGATTAAGCAAGCTAAAGCTCAGATAGAATTAAATCTGTCCAGGAGCATCAAGGACAAGAAAGAAGACTTCTATAAGTGTTTCAGCCATAAAGGCCAGACTAGGGAAGATGTGGGCCCTCTCCAGAAGGAAACGGGAGAGCTGGTCACCTAGGATATGGAGGAAGCTGCGTTACTGAATGTTTTTTTCACTTTGTGTTTTCATCAGCAACAGCTCTAACCCCACCACCCAAGTTGCAGAAGGCAAAAACAGGGGCTATGAGAATTCAGAACTGCCCACCGTAGAAACAGATCAGGTTTGAGACCATCTGAGGAACCTGAAGGTACATAAGTCCATGGGACCAGATGAAATCCATACATGGGTCCTGAGGGAGCTGGTGGATGAAGTTGCTAAGGCACTTTCCATTATATTTGAGAAGTCATGGCAATCTGGTGAAGTTGCCACTGACTGAAAAAGGGGAAATTTAAGCCCCATTTTCAAAAAGGCAAAAAGGAGGACCCAGGGAACTACAGGTCATTCAGTCTCACCTATGGAGCAGATCCTCTTGGAATCTCTGCCAAGGCACAGGGAAAAACAGCCACTGACTGAAAAAGGGGAAATTTAAGCCCCATTTTCAAAAAGGCAAAAAGGAGGACCCAGGGAACTACAGGTCATTCAGTCTCACCTATGGAGCAGATCCTCTTGGAATCTCTGCCAAGGCACAGGGAAAAACAGGAGGTGATTGGTGACAGCCAACAGGGCTTCACCAACGGCAAGTCATGCCTGCCAAATTTGGTGGCCGCCTACGATATTGCCACAGCCTTGTAGACAAAGGCAGAGCAACAGACATCATCTACCTGGACTTATGCAAAGTGCTTTTCACTGTCCCACATGGCATCCTGGTCTCTAAACTGGAGACACATGGATTTGATGGGTGGACCACTCGGTGGATCAGGAACTGGCTGGGTGGCCGCACTCAAAGGGTTGTGGTCAACGGCTCAATGTCCAAGTGGAAGCCAGTAATGAGTGGTGGTACAATCACAGAATATTAAGGGACCTCTGGAGATCATCTAGTCCAACCCCCCCCGCCAAAGCAGGTCCATCTAGAGCAGGTTGCACAGGAACAATCCAGATGGGGTTTGAATGTCTCCAGAGGAGACTCCACCACCTCCCTGGGCAACCCCCGTGTTCCTCAGGGGTCGGCACTGGGACCAGTGCTGCTTAACATCTTTGTTGGAGACATGGGCAGTGGGATCCAGTGCACCCTCAACGAGTTTGCCGACGACACCAAGCTGTGTGGTGCAGTTGACATGCTGGAGGGAAGGGATGTGCCATCCAGAGGGACCTGGACAGGCTGGAGAGGTGAGACCATGCCAGCCTCATGAAGTTCAACCAGGCCAAGTGCAAGGTCCTGCCCCTGGGTCAGGGCAATCCCAGGCACAAACCCAGGCTGGGTGTAGAATGGCTGGAGAGCAGCCCCGAGGAGAAGAACTTGGGGGTGTTGGTGGAGGAGAAGCTCAACATGAGCCAGCAACATATGCACACAACACAGAAACCTCCCTGCATCCTGGGCTGCATCAAAAGAAGTCCCGCCAGCAGGTCTAGGGATGTGATTCTGCCTCTCTGCTCTGCTCTGGGGAGACACCCACCCAACCCCCCCCCCCAAGTGCTGCCTCCAGCTCTGTGGCCACCAACAGCAGAAGGCCATGGACCTGTTGGAGATGGGCCAGAGGAGGCCACAGAGATTCTCCAGAGGCTGGAGCCCCTCTGCTGGGAGGACAGGCTGAGAGAGTTAGGGGGGTTCAGCCTGGAGAAGAGAAGGCTCCGGAGAGACCTTCAAGCCCCTTCCAGTCCCTCAAGGGCCTCCAGGAAAGCTGGGGAGGGACCAGGAATCAGGGAGGAGAGCAATGGGATGAGGGGGAACAGTTTGACACTGAAAGAGGGGAGATGGAGATCAGATCTCAGGAAGAAATTCTTTGCTGTGAGGGTGGTGAGAAACTGGCCCAGGTTGCCCACAGAAGCTGTTGCTGCCCCATCCCTCGAGTGGGGGTTGGATGGGTCTTGGAGCAACCTGGTCTGGTGGGAGATGTCCCTGCCCATTGCAAGGGGATTGGAACCTGAACCACTCCATGATTCTGTGATTCTGTGACTCCTCTCCCTCACATCAGTTCATGGAACCATGAACCCAACTATCCAAGCAGGCAACCATCTGACCCTTCATTCATTAAACAGTTTCATTATCCATCTACCACCCATGCTTCCATCCATTCATCTATCCAGCTGTCAATCAGTCCACACAACCATTTTTCCAGCCACCCAGCCATCGACCTTGGAAGCATCATGGAGAATAGGAGAGGTGCCTGAGGACTGCAGGAAAGTCAATGTCATGCCAATCTTCAAAAAGGTCAAGAAGGAGGACCCAGGAAACCATGGCCAGTCAGCCTCACCTCCATCCCTGGTAAGGTGATGGAACAGCTTACCCTGGATGTCATCTCTAAGCATGAGGAGGAAGAGAAGGTTATCAGGAGTGTTCAGCATGGATTCACCAAGAGGAAATCCAGCTTGACCAATATGATAGTCTTCCATGATGGTGCGACTGGCTGGCTGGATGAGGAGAGAGCAGTCGACATTGCCTACCTCAGCTGGACCCTGTCCTGTTCAACATATTCATCAATGACCTGGATGAGGGGACAGAGTGTACCTTCAGCACGTATGTGCTGCCACCCAGTGAGACCTGAACAAGCTGGAGAGTTGGGCAGAGAGGAAACTGATGAACTTCAACCAGGGCAAGTGCAGGGTGCTGCACCTGGAGAGGAATAATCTCCCGCACCAGTACAGGTTGGGGGCTGACCTGCTGGAGAGCAGGTCTGAAGAGAAAGACCTGGGAGTCCTGGTGGACAACAAGATGACCATGAGCCAGCAATGGCCCCTTGTGGCCAAGAAACCCAATGGCATCCTGGGGTGTATCAGGAAGAGTGTGGCCAGCAGGTGGAGAGAGGTCATCCTGCCCCTCTGCTCTGCCCTGTTGAAGCAACGTCTGAAGTGCTTGTCCAGTTCTGGGCTCCCCAGTTGAAGCAACATCTGAAGTGCTTGTCCAGTTCTGGGCTCCCCAGTTCAAGAAGGACAGAGAACTGCTGGAGAGGACACAGCAGAGGAATGCAAAGATGATGAGGAGCCTGGAGCATCTCCCTTACGAGGAGAGGCTGAGGGACTTGGGTCTTATTAGTCTGGAGAAGAGAAGGCTGAGGTGGGATCTGATCAATGCCTATAAATACTTAAAGGGTGGGTGTCAGGAGGATGGGGCCAGTCTTTTTCCAGTGGTGCCCAGGGACAGGACAAGAGGAAATGGGCACAAATTTTAACATAGAATGTTCCATCTAAACAGGAGGAAGAACTTCTTCACTTTAAGGGTGGCAGAGCCCTGGAACAGGCTACCCAGAGAGGTGATGGAGTCACCTTCTCCAGAGACATTCAGACCCCATCTGGACACGTTCCTGTGGGACCTGCTCTGGGTGGACCTGCTTTGGCAGGGGATTGGGGGAGATGATCTCCAGAGGTCCCTTCCACCCCCATATTGTTCTGTGTTTCTGTGAAAGGCTGACAGCCCTGGGGCTGCTCAGCCTGGAGAAAAGAAGACTGAGAGGGGATCTCATTGATGCTGATCAACATCTGTCAAGAGGTGGGTGTCAAGAGGTGAAGCCCAGTGGTGCTTCTCAGTGGTGCCCGGTGACAGGACAAGGGGCAACGGGCACAAACTGGAACAGGGGAAATTCCATCTCAACATGAGGGAAAATATCTTTCGTTTGTGGGTGGCAGAGCCCTGGAATAGGCTGCCCAGAGAGGGTGTGGAGTCTCCAGCCTGCTCTGGGTGACCCAGATGGTCTCCAGAAGTCCCTTCCAACCCTCACCATTCTGTGATTCTGTGATCTAATCCCAAGCATCCACCTATCTATCCAATCCCAACCATCCACTCCACTTACCCACTCATCCAATCACCCACCCTTCCATAAAAACAGCCCTCCAGCCCTCTGACCCTCCATGCACCCACCCCCACCCCCAAATCAAGGCCCAGATGCTCTTCCCATTTCCCTCAAAGTCAAAGGACCAGCCAAGGCTCCTGACTTGCTCCAAACCCAGCACCTGCTGAAGACAAACCTCGAGCCCCCTCACCTGTGACAGCATCAGTGGAAATAAGACCAATTCGTTTCCGACCCCACACCCCGTACAGGTTGAACTTGTAGCGCCGGGACGGGGACAGCCCAGGTACGGTCACTGTGCGCGAACCACCATCAACTGCAAGTGCCTGAGGTTGGCCTTGGGCATCCCTGTACTGCACCGTGAAGGAGTCAAAGGTGCCCTCGAGGACGCTCCACTCCAGCTGGATGGAGCCAGGCGTGACATGGGTGACCGTGAGCCCACCCAGGCGGGGCCGAGGTGGTGGTTCCTCTGATGGCATGGCTGGCACTGCAATGGAGATGGTAGAGCAGAACATGATCCATGAAACCTTCTGCTGAACAATCTGTCCATTCATCCACCTGCGGAATCATGCAACCACCCAATGGGTGATTCCACCACCCAACCATCCACCCATCCTCCCTTTGATCCAGCTGGGTGTTGGATCCACTCATCCATCCAATTGTCTGTTCATTCTCTTATTTGTCCATTTTTCCATTCACCAGTCCATTTATCCATCTGTCCGCTCATTTGTCCATTCAAGCATCCAGACTTCCATTTATTCAATGACCTAGTTTTCCATTCACTTCACCTTACATCAATCTTTGAATCCACCCATCCATCCACCTACCTACATATCCAATCTTCCAGCCATCAAACCATCGTCCATCCATCCTTCCAGCCATCCACCTACCTCTTCAAGCTTCTACACAACCATCCAGGTATCCAACCATCCATCTAACCAACCAAGGGAGACCTTATTAATGCCTACAAGTATCTCAGGGGTGGGCTGAGGGAGGAGGGAACCAGACTCTTTTCAGTAGTTGCCAGTGAGAGGACAAGCGACAATGGGCACAAGTTGGAACATAAAGGGTTCCACTTGAATATGAGGAAGAACTTTTTCACGGTGAGGGTGACGGAGCCCTGGAACAGGCTGCCCAGGGAGGGTGTGGAGTCCCCTTCTTTGGAGATTTTCAAGACCCGCCTGGATGCTCCTGAGTAACATGCTCTGACAAGCTCTGGGTGGTCCTGCTTTAGCAGGGGAGTTGGACTAGATGGTCCCTTCCAACTCTAAAAATTCAGTGAAATTCAGTGAAATCCATCCAACCTCCAACCATCCATCCAACTTTCCACCCATCACCCACCCATCTTTCCATTCACCAAACCACCACCCACCCACCCATCCTTCCACCCCACCCACTTTCTGACCTTCCAGCCATCAAAATATCCAGCCATCCTTGCACCCAACCTTCCCTTCATCCAAGCACCATGTATCCATCCCTCATCCTTCCATCCATCCATCCTTCATCCTTCCATCCATCCACCCACGCCCAACTTGTCTACCAAGACCAGGTTGGCCTGAACACCTGAGTCCCTCCCATTGCTGCCATGGACCACTTGATGGTACCTGCTTTGGCTACAGCACCTTGGGGCTCAGTCAACTCCATCTCATACATGTGCTCCCAGTCCATCGGGGGCTCATCAGTGCCACCTACCCCTGCACCCAAAAGAGGAGTGGGTGGTTATAGGATGTTCCCCCACAATGTTGTCCCCATCTCCATCCCCATCACCCACCTGCCGTCACCAGGAATGTGTAGGACTTGGAGACGTGCCCTCGCACCACGCCGTGCACCTCCACACGGTACATTGCCCCTGGCACCAGCCCTGGCACCCGGGCCACCGCCGTGTCCCCTGGCACCTGTAGTTCCCCCTCGGCCCCCTCTGGCTCTTCCAGGAGCCGGTAACGGATCACCACAGTCTCTGCGTGGCCCTGCAGCCCATCCAGGTCCACCAGAGCCTCACCAGCGGCCCCTGGCATCAACTGGGGCTTGGGATGGGGGATCTGGCGGAGGAGCTGCTGACGCAACGGCGCCGGGCTGCGGCGCAGAAGGTAAGAGAGGATGGCACGGGCCACTGCTGGCACCGTTTGGTTGCCCCGGAGGGGAAAGTTCGTAGCCCGGAGGTGGCTTTCCAGACGCTGCAGCAAGGAGCCATTGTAGGAGGAGAGCCTGGCCCCCAAGTCATGCAGGGATGGGCCGCCTGGCAGCACTGGGGACAATGGAGCTGCTGGGAACACCGGGGACCATGGAGATGAAGGTGACACAGGGGACAGTGGAGATGCCGGGGACCGTGGAGATGTTGGTCTTGGGGACACTGGGGATGCTGGTGCCTCTGGGGACCTTGGGGACACTGGGGACCCCCAAGATACTGGGGACGCTGGAAACTTTGGAGATGCTGGAGACCCCAAAGACCCTGGTGACCCCAAGGATGCATCCGGTGACCGTGGTGATGCTGGTGATCCCAGGGACTCTGGTGACCCCGGGGACCTTGGGGATGCTGGAGACCCTTGGAATGATGGTGATGCTGGGGCCATTGGTGATGCCGGGGACCCCAGGGAACCCTGAGGGGACCCTGGGGACACCCCATGGGTGGGCAGAGTCTGGGAAAGCACTGTGAGAGCAAAGGGGAGCAGGGTGATCAACCTGTCCCCAAAAGCCACCGTCTGCCAGAGACTGGGGATCCATGGAGGGGACACGGGGGAGGATAAACATGGGAAGGGACAGACGGACGCACAGGGACTGAGGACACCCAGGCTCACGGGAACAGACTAAGACAGATCAATTGACAGTGACAGACTGGGGACACCCGAACCAAGGCAACAGAGGGACGCATTGGGAAGCACCAGGAGGTGTGGGGACACATGGACCCATGGGGACAGCTGAGCCCATGGGGACATATGGACCCATGGGGACAGACACAGATAGATGGGCCCAAGGGGACACACGGACCCACAGGGACAGACCAGTGACACACAGGCCCACCAGGACAGACACATGTGGACCCACAGAGCCATGGGGGCACGTGACATGTGGGGACAGACGGAGGCTGCAGGCACAATCCCTGTCCCCACGCCCATCCCAGCCCCTGTCCCCGTCCCCATCCCCATGGCTGTGACATTCCCCTCCCTGGCCCATCCCTCTGCCATCCCCATGCTCATCAACATCCCATCCCTGTCCCGACACCTGTGTTGTCCTCATGCTTGCATCATCCCTGTCCCCATGCCTGTCACTGTGCTGTCCCTATCCCTATGCCATCCCCATTCCTACGCTGTCCCCACCCATCTGTTGTCCCCATCACCAGCCCCATGCTGTCCTTGTCACCATACCTGTGCCCATGCTGACCCCATCCTCATGCCATCCCCATACCCATGCTGTCCCTGTCCCTGTGCCCACACCATCTCTATGGCTGTCCCCATCACTGTGCTAATGCTATCCAGGTCCCCAGGCTTTCCCTGTCCCTAAGCCATCCCCATTTCTGTCCCCACACCCATGACCTATGCCATCACCATCCCCAACCCCATCCCTGTGCTGTCCCTGTCCCCATCCCTGTGCCATCCCCATTGACATACCCATGCTATCCCCACCCTCACCCCTCTGCTCATGCCACCCCCCTCCCCATGCCATCATTGTCCCCAGCCCTGTCATTCCTGTCCACATGCCCATGCCTTCCCTGTCCCCATGTCCATGCCAACCCCATCCCTGTCCCCATGCTGTCCCCACATCCACAACCATGCCACCACTGTCCCTGTACTCATCCCCATGCCATCTCCATTAACATCCCCATGCTGTCCCCGTCCCCATCCCCACCACTGTGCCCATGCCATCCCTGTCCCCTTGCCCATGACTATGCCATCCTCATCCCTGTGTCATCCCCATGTCCATGCTGTTGTTGTCTCTGTCCCAATGCCATCCCCATGCCCATGTCATCCCCAGCCCCGTCCCCATGCCCACACCCATTGCCATCCCCATGTTGTCCCCACCCACTCATGGTCCCCACACTGAGCTGGTGACACATACGGGTGCGGACACGCAGGGTGCCAGGTGCCCCAAGGTGCTTCTCCCGCTGGGCCTGGATGAAGAGCTCGAACGTGTGTCCGGGTGCCAGCCCTGTCACCTCGAAGGTCACAGCAGAACCAGGCAGCTCATGGGTGGTCATTGCCGCCGGCTCATCCTGAGGACAAGGAACATGACAGGGGACACGCTGGGGGCACCTTGGTGGGAGCTGACCCTGAGTCAGGCAGCAGGTAGGTGGTCACAGCCAAGAGCTTCTCCCAGGGCTGGGGAACATGTTGGGGACACACTGGGAACAGCTAAGGAGGGACACACTGGGGACAGTGTCATGAGGACTCCTCCTCATCCCTGAGCCAGGAAGAAGGCAGGTGGCTGCAGCCAATGGCTTGTCCTTGGGCTGGTGGACATACTTGGGACATATTGAGGACGCCATGTTGGGGACATGGCCTGGTCCCTAAGTAGGGCTGCAGGCAGGTGGCTGCAGACAAGTGGCTGATACTGGGGACAGTGGACATGCTGGGGACACCGAGGACACCATGCTGAGGACACATCCCTGTCCCCACGCCATGTAGCAAGAGGGTGGCCAAAACTACTGGCTCATCCTGCAGACAAGGGACATGTTTGGGACACACTGGGGACACCACAGGGGGGAACATATCCCTAAGACAGGCGACAGATACATGACACCCCCACACCCAATCTTGGGGACACACTGAGGAGATGGCCCCATCCCTGAGTTAGGCAGCAGGAGGTGGCTTGACTACTGGCTTGCTCTGGGGACAACAGGCACACTGGGGACATGTTGGGGACACCATAGGGACACCCTTATTGTGTCCCCCAGCAGAGCAGGAGTGGGTGGCCATGGATGCAACCTCATCCTGGGGATGAAGGCCACATTGGGGCCACTGCAGCACTGGGGACCTGTCCCCACCCCTGTCCCCACCCCCAGCTCACCAGGGGAATGAGGGCCACCTGGTAGCCATCCACTGGTATGGGGGGGCGGGGCCAGGTCACACGGAAAGACGTCTGGTTGCGGGTGGCCAAGCGTGGTGTCACGGAGGGGATCTCTGTGGGAACACAATCCAATCAGCAGGTGTCACCACGCACCACGGGGATACTTTGGGACACCACAGGATGAAGCACCTATGGGATGGGGACACCCTGGGGACACCATGGGACTGGGACACCTTGAGGACACCCTGGGGATACCACAGGACAGGGCACCCATAGGATGAGGACACCAGAGGACAGGGACACCCTAGAGACACCATGGGATGGGGCACTCAAGGGATGGGGACACTCTCAGGACACCATGGGACAGCAACACCCTGTGGACACCCTGGTGAAACCACCAGATGGGGCACCCATAGGATGGGGACACCCTGGGGACACCCTGGGGACACGCTAGGGACATCATGGGCCAGGGTCAATGGAATGGGGACACTCTAGGGACATGACAGGACATGAACGCTCTCGGGACACCATGAGGACATGAGGATGGGGCACCCATGGGATGGGGACACCCTGGGGACATCATGGGTCAGGAAACCCTTGAGACACCATGAGGACATCATAGGATGGGGACACACAGGATGGGGACATCATGGTGGCATGGAGGGGACACCCAAGGAACAAGGCCACCAGGTTACAGGACACCCGCAGGACATGGACACCACAGGGACACTCAGGGCCAGGGCACTGGGAGAACTGAGAGAGCACTGGAGGACACCAGGGGACACTGGGGGAAATACCAAGGTGGCATTAGGGTCCACCATGGTGGGGCGGAGGGGGACACGATGATAGGGACAGGCAGGGAGGCACTGGGAGCACTGGGATGGGGACACTGGGGGACACTGGGACTGGTGGAGAGCACTAGGGAAGCACTGGGGACACTTGGGGACATTTGGGAACATACTGAGATGGCATCAGGACCCACTACGGATGTGGAGAGAGGTGGGGGAGACTGGGAGCACTGGGATGGGGACACTGGAGACCCATGGGACCCTTGGGAACAGCTGGGAAGCACTGGGGACACTTGGGGACATATCAAGGTGGCATCAGGGCACACTACAGCCTAGAGGGGAAGGCGAGAGGGCACTGGAAGCACTGAGATGGGGACTCTGGAGGGAGCACGAGGGAACTCAGGGACCCTTGGGGACACCTGGGGACTTCCCACGATGGCATCAGGACCCACTATTACCAGTGAGGGATGTGGGGGGGGGCACTGGGAGCACTAGAATGGGGACACTGGGGGAGCTCTTGGGAACCACAGGACCCTTGGGGACAGGTGGAGACACTGGGAGACCCCTGGGGACACTTGGGGATGCTCATGGACCCTTGGGGACACTCCATGGGTGCACCAGGACCCGCCATGGGGTAGGGGGGTGACACCGGGAGCACTGGGATGGGGACACTGGGACCCCTAGGGAAACTGAGGGACCCTTGGGGACACCTGGGGACCTACCAAGACTCACTACGACCGGGGGAGGAGGTGGAGAACCCATGGAGAGACCCTTGGGGACAGCTGGGGAGCACTGGGGACATCTGGGGACCCTTGGGGATACTCGGGGACTCCCCATGGGTGCAGCGGGGCCCAACATGGCCGGGGAGGAAGCGGGCAGGGGGGAACAGGACACTGGGAGCACTGGGATGGGGACACTGGGATCCTCTGGGGACACTCTGCGACACCTGGGGACCGACCGACCTGGCATCAGAGCCCACTATGGGACGGCACAGGGGAGGGCACTGGGAGCACTGGGATGGGGACACTGGTGGGGCGCTGGGGACCCTTGGGGACACTTGGGGGCAGGCGGGGACATACCAAGGGCGCAGCTGGGCCCACCACGACCCGGGGG